TTCCTGAACTGCATTATTATTCTGTTTACTGTCTAAAGCGGGTTTCCCTAATTCTGCAAAATTTGCCCCTGACTTATTCCATCATCTGCTTGACCAACTATTCTTCCTCTAACAAAATCTGACAATTCGAGAGAACCTTGAGTTCTAGGCATGTTGTAGCACAAGAAAATTAGTGTACGGACCATTTTCATTTATATAGTGCTCTGTGAACAGAAATTAATTAGCATAAATCAGTTAAATGACGAAAAATTAGGTGTCTATTTACTTGTGACCACTCAGTGTACATCAAATTCTTTACACTATAGAGACTACAGGCATATCATAGTTCTCTTTTTCTTGTCAAAAGCCCACTTAGGTCTATTCGGTTACTTTAGAATTTCAGTTGACAAGCTGAACTATCTTCTTTATTATTATCGCACTAGTATTCTGTATGTGTGATTCACTTACAATCGTGGCGCGAGTTACCGTAATCATTTGGTCATCTTTCTTCAAAATATCCTGTTCTTTTTGTCAAAGTGCACTCAGGTTGATTCATTTACTTTAGAATGATGCTCTGACGGAATAATTCTTCTTCTTTTCTACTGTTAGTCTTACTCTAGCATAATTAACTTTGGGCCTATCATGATGAACTTTTCCTTGGCCGTAACTTTACTCTCATCTGTTATTGTCTTTCTGCAGTTTCTGCACCTCTCACACTATTTATATTGTTGTGCATCTGGTCATTTGTTAGAAATTCTTTCCGAGAAACTTCAGCGATACAAGTCCTTTCTTAATTAAAACTAGTTTATTCTTTCTTGATACAGCTTTGTAATACACAGAATTTCCACAGTCAATATGTTTGCAATCTCGATAACAAAACACACACTTTATATTACCATCACTACCGATCGATTGAATCGATTATCTATCTCTATATCTGCAATCATTTGCCGGGCTTATATACTAAAATAGAGGGGATCTGGGAAATACTCGGGCCTTCATGATCCTTCTAGAAACTCATCACGTGTTATCAGCGTCACGTGATATTCGCTGTCGTAACACTGCCCCTTCCTTAGTATTGTTCATCCCGAACGATAGCCACTGACATTAAACCAATAGATAATTAACAATAACTTGATTAAATGTACAGAATTTACAAAATCCAACAGTCTTAATTTTATAGGACGTATCTTCTTCCATACTGGTCTCGGCTTCTGCTTCACATGGGGTTCATCTGCTCCATCAGTAAATGTCCTATTATTGGTAACAGTCACATCAGTGGTAGTAACTTCATTAAGGGTTTCACTGTTTCCCTTCTCAAAACCGGGTAGAGCTTCTTCTTCGACAGTGGCTTTTTCAGGTGACATGTCTTCAGCAGCAGCATTTGTTCTGTTGTTCACTTTGTTCCAACTGAAATGACCTGGACCGTGATAACGCCAAAGCCTGTTGGCATGCACCACCTTTGGCTTACCTCGCCGACCACATTTTATTTGGAAAGTCACGTCTGAGAGACGATCCACTATGTCATATGGACCTTTCCATGGAGAAGACATCTTAGGATACTTCCCTTTGGTCTTCCTGGGATTATACAACCACATCTTGTCTCCTGGTACAAAGCTGACTTCAGTAGATCTATCATAACATAGCTTCATGGAATCAGCAGACGTTTTCAAGTTTGAATGCACTTGATGGTGAATAACAACCATCCTTTCCGATAACACTTTCACAAACTCTGACACATTTTCAGGCAACTCTTCATAAGGTGGGTGCCCTGTTAACAGATCCACTGGCAACCGAAGTTCCCGACCAAACATCAACTTTGCTGGAGTTATCCAGTGGCTTCATGCTCTGCTGTTGCTACAACTGTAGCTTCGGCTATTAGTGATTTCTTCTTCAGGTTTGGTATGCCATACGAATTGCATTCAGATCAAGGCCGTAACTTTGAATCAGCTGTGTTCCAAGAATGCTGCAAGTTTTTTGGCATACGAAAGACCAGGACAACACAACTTCACCCGCAGTCTGATGGGATGGTAGAAAAGTGCAATTACACACTGGGACAGGAATTGGCAAAGTTTTGTAATAGCCACCAAGATTACTGGGACGTCTTACTCCCTCCACTGTTGATGGCCTACAGAGGCATATGCAATACCAAATCAGGAATACATTTGTGTGGTGATGGATTATTTCACCAAGTGGCCTTCCTGTTTCCAGCACGAGTTTGGGGCAAAGGACCTACAATGTCAATAGCTACTCTTTCCATTGGTGCACCAACTTGATATAACTTCATTGGAGCATGTCCCTTATGCTTGGGTCCCCTTTTAGCACAACATGTACTGCAGGTCCTGCACCATTCTTCCACATCTTGCCTCATACCTATCCAGTAAAATCTCTGCCATAGGTGACGCAATGTCTTCTTAACTCCAAGATGTCCTTCTATTAAACTTTCTTGGGATTGACAGAGCACAACTTATCGTAACTTTCTCGGTATAACTGTTTGCCAGTTCGTCACTTTCCCATCTCCAGACAAAAATACCATCTTCAAGCTTCAACTGGTCCCATTGTGCCCAATAGTTCTTTGTCACAGGGCTTAAGCTATACACCTTCTCCCAAACAGGGCACAAAACACTTGATTGTAGAATATCAAGTCACTTTGACTTCAGCTTGATGACACCTGCTTAGTTCAACCTTTCTTTTGCAGCAATGCCTGCAGTCATTTTTTTGAGGGTCTTCAGCTCAGTCCGTCGGCATTTCCATGAGATTTTCCTTCTCTATATTCAATATCATAATTATATGTGACTATCTTTCCGATCCAACGTGACAGTTGTCCCTCTGGGTTCTTTAATGATCTTAACCAGTGTAATGCAGCATGGTCTGTCCTGATGGTAAACTTTTCACCATAGAGGTAAGGAT